AAAAGCAGGAAATTCACATTTTTATGGTATCTGAATGGAAAACGGAATTACTTTGGAATCTTGTCAGCACATTACTCTCTTATAATAAGTCATGTGTAATGGTGTATTTGTATAAAACTGCACACAAAAACATTTTATATAAAATGTTTGATAAATTAAATTATTAAACTAAACAGAGTTGTTAATGTAAATCAACTTAATATAATACAATCATGTAAAGAAAAATGTCTTGACGGCAAAACGTCAAAATGGTGAAACAGCCCCAGCAAATAGTCCCATTCCCGACCAGATGTTTTCAACGGGTGACAGATCTGGAGACCATGCAGGTCAGGGCAGCAGTTGAATATTCTGTGTATTGAGGAAGGTCAGAACACAAACGTGCAACATGTGTTCTTGCATTATCTTGTTAGAAGATGGCATTTGGCAGGCCTCGAAGATAGGGACAACCACTGGACATAAGATGTCAGAAATGTACCAACCTGCATTCAAATTACCATTGATCTGAACTAGAGATGTGCATGTCGTGCACTTACTCACTGTCCAAACCATTATATCAGATGCAGGGTCCCTATGCCGATATCGAATGCAATCAGGCGACATGCGGTCTCCTCGGTGCCTCCAGACACATATATGGCCATCAGAATACTGCATGAAGAACTGGGACTCGTCGAAAAAGACATGTTAAGCCACTCCAGCTTTATTGATCGGCACACCAGAGTAGCCATCTCTCTATGCTGCATTGTCAAGGGAAGCCAAAGTAATGATCATAGTACCGATAGTCCAGGAAGCTGCAAACATCGATGCACCGTACAAGTGGATACTAGGTGTGCTGCAAACATGCCCATTTCCTGACTAATGGTCCATGATGTAGTTTTATTGTTTTGCAGGGCTGGCTTTACAATATGTATGTCCTCTCAGGCATTATTCATTGGAGGGCCTTGAGAACCTCCATGCCATTCAATATGACCCTCAGCAAGAAAATTCCATATTCGCATGACAGTGGTTGAATGTTGACCAGCGCAATGGGCGATATCACGGAATGGTAATCCACACTCTTGATAGGCAACGATCATGCATCTATTGCATTGTGACACTTGCTGGTAAGCATTTCTTCTTATTTTCGAGACATAACACAATATTCTGAGCAAACTCGGACCTTACAAAACACATTCCAAATGAGAAATCCACTCCACAAATTTTATAAACATCTTCAGATGTCGTTTCTACCTCCTGTGTCGTGTAAATGTGCTGAAATACTAATCATTTGCATATCAAAAATTCTTCCTATCATGTGATTTTGATGTTTGTCAGGTCATTCCTTCCTGGTGTTGCAATTTTAATGGCCAGCAGTGTAATTATCTGCAAGAAGTATATGTGTCTATTATGAGGAAAAAAGTGTCAATAAATTATTTTTTTCTGAAGTTTAAGTTAAAACAAGTCAATGCATACACAGATAGCAGTGCCAAATTGATGTGCAATGCAAAGAATTTTGCAGTTCTCTTTTTTTTTATGTTAAAAATTGGTGGATGTATAGCAGTGCCAATTTGCTCTGCAACGGCGGAATTCTACAAATCTCTAACTTTTAAGTTAAAACAAGTCACTGTGCACATGGGCCAAGACAACGGAAAATAAAGTGTTTTATTGTGAATTTTTGCTGTATTGTTAATTTAATTAATTTGTTGCAGTTTCGTTAAATTTTGAGTATTTGGTCATGGATATTTGTTTTATGTAATTTTTACTGTTTCACTATGGATGTTTCTTGCATTTTCAATTTTGTTAACTTGTAGCTACTTCATGTAATTTTCAAGTGTGCTGCCATTTTCTTAAAAAGGGTACTGCTTTTCACATGTTAGATTGATGAAAAAGTAGTCACCAATGATTGGTGACTTAGCAGGAGTGCTGGGCAGGTAACATGAAAATACCAAAATTGCTGAGAGTTGATTGCACAAATGGAAGAAAACTCCAGTAGAATAAAGCGGCAATGCAATAGTGATGGCAGACTGGAAATTTATATTAAATACAAAAAAGTGTTCCATTAGAAGTAAAAAAAGGTGTTCCATTAGAAGTAAAAAAATAACTGCACTATTGTATCTTAAGCAAAATAACTACACAGCAAAATAAATTCTGGAGCTTATGTATTCAGACATTTATGGACCAATGATAGTAGTCCACTTGTTAAATATTAAGAAATAAGCAATTCCAAAGTAAGAGCAATTTGAACCAATGACAAAAATGAGTTTGCAAAGAATACACAATTACAGAACACACATAAACAAGCTGAAAAATAAACATCTAAAAGAAGTACTAGTCCCTAGAAGCAAATTCAACACAACAGAACAGTTGAGCAGAAAGAAAAAATGGAAATGACAAGTTACCTACTACTCAATTCCAGACACGAAAATTAATTCTCGGGATAATACCAGAGATCTCTTTGCAAAAGAGACTACATACTATCAATTGATGAAACACTGTAAGAGCTCTGGAACAACAATAAACTGAATGTAAGCCATATCAGAGTTATACAGTTATCGTACCACAGGATACAGATCCTATATTTGAGATACAAGCAAAGTCATCATCAAAAAAATAAATGTGATGAAAATAACACAAGGAAAAGTATACCTTATCAGACAAATGATCAGAAAGTAAAACAATGAATTTTTAAAGAAAACAGATCCATAGCATGAAGTCCAGAAACTGCAGAAAAAAATGAAATAGAAGAAAAAGCTCTGTCAACAAGATCTGGAAGAACCACCACCACAATTCCACCAAATAAACTGGTTATCATAAATTAAGGAAAAATCACAATTACTGAAAAAGTTTCATGTAGAATTTAATGAAACTTACCCACAATATACAACACATAGTAAGGTATGAAACATAAAAAGAAATTACCAGACAAATATATGGTAGTGATAGAAATTATCACATGTATAAAACGAACAAATCGGAAGGTGTCAGTTTTCTATAGGAAAAGTACCTTCAATATGGAATATGATCGCCTCCTAGAAGCAATACAGCACATACACGGATGCGTGATGCTTTCAATTATGCGGTCTTATCAGTTCCATAGGAAGCGAGGGCCATTGCTCTTGCAAAAGCAGTTGCAAGCACGGCTAAGGGTGTGAGGGGGCGGATTGAGAGCAGCTTAGATGTCTCTCTAAAGCATCCCAAACGTGCTCGATATGATTCAAGTCCGGGGATCGAGCTGGCCACTCCATGTGCATAGTTGTTTCCTGTTGAAGACAATCATCTACGATGCAAGCCCTATGTGGTTTTGCGCTGTCGTCCTGTAACAGAAAAGCATCACCTATTGCCCCAGCATATGGGCCCACGTAAACATCAAGGAGGTCATCCCTATAAATCTGAGCATTCATGGTTCCCCTTGAAAAGACATGGAGGTCTGTGTGTCCACCCAAAGAGATGCCACCCGAAACACAGACACTGCCCCTTCTGTATGCATGACAGATGATAATGGGTTCTAGGTTCTCTCCATATCAAATAACGCCTACTATCGCCTTCTAGACTAAACCTGGACTGATTCGTAAAGAGAACCGCCCTTCATTGATCACGCGTCCAGTGGACATGTCGTGCCTACGGTCTCTCCTATGCCGTGACGTGAGTGGCACACAAATGGATGGTCGCTGCAGCAAGGGAGGATCTAAGAAGAGTCGGAGTAACGGTTCTATTCCTGCGTGCACATAATGTCAAATATCGGTCATCGGCGCCCATCGTAGCAGTGGGCTGGCTGTCCTTAGCTGAACCTCCTAGATGCCGAATCTGTGGTTTGAAATTGCCTCCAAAGTCTATGAATCACAGAAGGACTCACATTTAGCCATCTGGCCACTTCTATTTGACTTTGTCCTGCCTCTAGTCTCCCAATAGTTCTCCATTACAGTTCTGCAGGCAAATGATGCCTGGAGGTCATTGTTACGAATTGGCTATCTTAGATTTCTGATGTCACTGTCACAGTGAAATATGTAGGCTTGCTCTCAAACATGGGCTTTAATGCTCCCCGCAGATGACGTATCCCGAGTGCAGTGCCACTAACTTGCATATTGAAGGCTTACTCAGCTACTCTTACTTTGCAACATATTCAAATTTTACACGGTTTGGTTTATTTTTTAGGTAGTTATCGCTATTTTTGTGATTTTTCCTTAATTTATGATAACCAGTGTAATTCTCTGTAAATACAACAAAAAATAAATTCAGTGTAAATACAACAAAAAATAAATTAAGGTTCCAACATACTGGAAAAAATTGCAAACCTTTTCAACAACTGAAAAAAATACAGATGAGAACTACAAAAGAAGGAACTGAACGACTACAAAAAATAAAACACAGCAGTTGATCTTCCAGAAGAGAAACTGCTAATGGAATTTTTCTGTTGTTTCTGTTAGGTTATGCTTCTTTCTTGTGTTCAACTGTTTCTGATTACTGTAATTTTGAGTAAACTGCAGATGTCATTCTCCGTAATTACCCCAGTAAATCAGGAGTTGTCTGCAATAAAAATCACTAACCCAGGTAAGGGATGTACAATTTGATGACGTAACTTCAAAGTGTAGACTGCAGATTTGGTGAAAATATCAGTAAGCAGCTTCAATATAATAATGAAATTATTTGCTTCAATTAAAGTATTATAATTTGGATCAATACAAAAGCTATGCAAAAACTGCAATATTCTGCTCATTCAGAAATATATTAATAAAACTAGTTAAAATCGATATAAACAGTAGAAAACATACACATGTGGCAACATTTGGGGAGATCTTTGGCAATCGTAACTTGAAAATTTTTTGGATTACCTATAGGTATTTAGAAGTTAATTTAAACTATCATTCTTTTTCATTGGGCAGAAAATGAGCTTTATTTTTTCAAACCAATACATACTTCAAGGCTAACACTTTCCTTGTAAGAAGTAATTTTTCCACTAAACCCAATGCTGCATACTGGAAACAGATACACAAATACAAGGTTAACAAATATTTCATGTAACTTACTTTCCCAAAAATTCAATGTCTTCCCATTTTTGCAGTTTACAGATACAACACTAAATCCCTCAGTATGTTCTGGTTTATTAGCATTGTCTTCAGCTTTTGACAAGTGAGATAAAAAACTACTTTTTCCAGCTTTATCCAGACCCAGAACCAAAATCTTCTTCACAGAATCATCAATCATCTAAAAAGATATCATCAAAGATACCATTTTTATTACATCTGTGCAATAAAATTTTAAAATAAATACATAGATAACTTTACCATTCATTAGTATATTTAGCAATCCAATTTCAGAATGACTTTATTAAATTCTAGCATTTGATTTCCAACCTTAATTAGATGCAAAATTCAAATTTAGGATTTTGAATCTTTTACAACTAGCTACAGATAATCACTGTGTGATATAAAAAAAAATATGCACATGCCTTTTAAAACAATAATAGTTATTGAATGAAAAAACAAAGTACACTGATGAAAGTATAGACACCTGAAGAAATTACTTTAAAGAATTTAACTATTATTCCCTTTTACAAATCAGGATGGAGGTGTCCAAGAGTAAAATAAATATGACTGCCAAAGGCACAAGTTACACTTAAAACTTAAAAGCAGACTGTACATCAGAGAGCTGTGAATTAAACTAAATTATGTCTGCTGCTCAAGTACTAATCTCATATTAAATCAGCCTTCCTATCTGCAGAAGTGCAAACGTTGCGATATTCATAGATGTTCACAAAAATTTTAGATGTTCCTATTAAACAAACAAAAAAGCTTGTGCTATGTACTGTTTGCTAAATTAGTTATTTAATTATTAAATATGGTATGAAATATGACAATCAGATGAATGGATGCATGAGTTAATTATTTTAAAAGATCACTTTCTTTATTCATTGAAGATCTTAAATGATGAATTTCTCTCACTTTGTCATTTATAACTGTCAATTAAATGGGATAATATGATGGGAAAAATCTACACCTTTTTCTGCCTGAAGATGGTTGGTTATGGCTATTCAAATATAGCAAAATACACACATTCTTGCCTGAAGTATAGGAGCAATTTTGCTAATGAGTAAAATATTTGCAACCCAAAATTTCAATAATTCTTTTTTATATGAGATTATATTTCAAGTTTTCATTCATTTATTATGAAAGTAAAAAGCATGAAAATACATACTGTCAAAGCACATTCCACTTTTTCTCCAAGAGAAAGAGTGTGTTAAGTTTTCTTTGGATAGTCCCCCTTGTAGACACTAAGCTGCCAAAGGCACAAGTTGCATCCCAAATATTATATTCTAAGAGGGAAACTGAATTTTTTTCATAAAATTACCAAAAGCACATTAACACAAGTTTTATTCTCATGACTTGTTACTAGGGCAGTAATACTGCAGGGAAAAAAAGGCAGATACACAGGGCTACTGTGCATTGTAAGAAGTGTGGCCAGGGCTTTACAGAAAAGATGATTTACATTAACATTTCGAGGATGGCTATAGAACAAATGCAACAACACAAATAATTAATATGTAAATACATTTATATTACACATTTTTTAATTAAAATTCACTACTAAATTTCCAGAAGTCAATCAATCAACATAAACCAATCAATTTCCCTAAATATATTCAAAGCCCTTACATTGATGTCCAAAATTATCTTTACATGCACGAAACTGTAAATTATAATTTTATGAATTTGTGTGTTATTCATAGCATAACACATAAAAACAAAGGGAAAAAATTAAGAGCACTGCATATAATATAAACCTGTATCATGAAACAATGAAAATAATAATATGGGTAATAATATTTTTTAGGGTGCCCCTCACCGAAAATTGGTAGTTGGCCAGCAAGGCACAATTTCAAGATGGCCGCTACACAAAACCAAAATAACACGTCAAAGAATTACAAAAACTCGGTGTCCATGTACACATTGATCTATTTTCACTTAAAAAAACCTAAGAGAATTGCACAAACTCGGCACTGAGCACTCCCTTGACTTTGTCCACGTACACATGGATCTATTTTCACTTAAAAATCGAAGAAGCACCCAATTCTACACTAGAACCAAACAAAAAATAGATAATCTCAATAAACTGCATTTTAAATCAAACAATGAAATAAACATAAAAAAGGAAATACATTATATCGCATCCACGCACTACACAAACGAAATATCTACTTACCTTATCTAGAAATTCCTGTGTCTTCAGTCTGTGGCACACAAAATTCTTTAACAGCATCAAAACTTCCTAAAATTATCTGAAACTAGAATCTGCATACTGGCATAGCTAAATAAATTCACAAAAATAAAACTAAAAAATATCCTCCTTAGTATCAGACTGTCAGTAGCATTTCTTGCATGAACCTTTCTTGCAACAAACCCATGCAAAGCCATCTGAACGATCTTTACGTTTGACCATACGCATTTCCTTCGTAGAAGCAGGACACTAATAATGACTACTAAGTAAACTTTCATTTACACACCAGTCAATTAGCCATTTTACGATGTAATGCACAAAATAAGCAACGTACTTCCTAATTGACATCCAACACAGAAATAAGCCCTCACAAATATTTTCCCATCAGTCAAATTCTCCGCAATCATGCAACCAATCATGTCATAATAGGGTTTCCATAACATTCAACTACTCAGGTTATCATAAATGATACAACAATTTGGCGATAAATGAAACAACAATTTGGCGATAAATGAAACAACAACTTGGCGATAATTCAAGGGGCACCCTAAAATATAGACTAACTGTAATACGTTACAAGAAGAGTTGGGAGAAATATAAAAAAAAGAAAAATCACAGGAAAAAAAAAAAAAAAGCTTAAGAATTTAATACAGAATATGATCTACGACTTCATATACATCAAAACATGTTTTTATGCTGTCAATAATGTTACTAACCACACTTTGGGGAATTAAGTTCCACTCCTCTAGCAACGAGGTCTTCATGGCATTAATATCTCAAGGAGGAGGATGTATCCCTGTAGCTGCTTTCACAAGGTTTCACAAGGTACCCAAGGTACCCTTCACAAGGTTTCCTTTCTTGCAACAAACCCATGCAAAGCCATCTGAACGATCTTTACGTTTGACCATACGCATTTCCTTCGTAGAAGCAGGACACTAATAATGACTACTAAGTAAACTTTCATTTACACACCAGTCAATTAGCCATTTTACGATGTAATGCACAAAATAAGCAACATACTTCCTAATTGACATCCAACACAGAAATAAGCCCTCACAAATATTTTCCCATCAGTCAAATTCCCCGCAATCATGCAACCAATCATGTCATAATAGGGTTTCCGTAACATTCAACTACTCAGGTTATCATAAATGAAACAACAATTTGGCGATAAATGAAACAACAACTTGGCGATAATTCAAGGGGCACCCTAAAATATAGACTAACTGTAATACGTTACAAGAAGAGTTGGGAGAAATATAAAAAAAAGAAAAATCACAGGAAAAAAAAAAAAAAAAAAAAAAAAGCTTAAGAATTTAATACAGAATATGATCTACGACTTCATATACATCAAAACATGTTTTTATGCTGTCAATAATGTTACTAACCACACTTTGGGGAATTAAGTTCCACTCCTCCAGCAACGAGGTCTTCATGGCATTAATATCTCAAGGAGGAGGATGTATCCCTGTAGCTGCTTTCACAAGGTAATCCTATAAGCTCTTTATTGGGGTAAGATAAGAAGGTTTTGCTGGCCACAGTATTTGCTCAATGGCTTCATTTCCACAGAATTTGTCAATAAAGTTTTCTTAATGTAGACAGATGTAGATTATCATCCATAAGTAAAGAGTTATAACCATATGCACCTCCAAAAATTCTTACATAAGATTCTAAGTCCTCTTCTTGATTTTATAGCTGGTCCCAGATCGGAACTCAAAATTCAATCTTTAAATCTGGATTTTAGAACAAGGTTACCTTGCTAAGTATTTTTATAAATTCTTATGGAAAGCAGCATGAAAATTATTTAAATATAAAAATAATTTAACAATGGTAATAAGACAGAAAAAATTGCAGAATAATACAATTTAATTGGAGTTGTCTTCTATAAATAGTTATAAAACTTTCAAACAACAAGCAATGAACTAACATATTTTTGAAATGAATTGCATGCAATGATTAAGCTGAATTTATTGCAAAAGCCTTAATAATGCTTTTGGCAATAATGCAAAATATCTGCTGTAACATAAGAGGAAGAATCTTCATGCGTTTCTAACTTCTGACATTACCATGTTGCTCTTTGTTTGACAGGGTTTGATTTCCAAGAAGTATCAAATCAAAAGAAGAGAATGTGTTGTTTTAATGAGTGATAATGGAAAACAATTAAAATAATTGATTGTTCATATCTTGACTAAAACTGACATAGCCACACACTATGAGATTAGTTCTATAAAATTTCTACAGAATTTTACTGAAATGTAGCAAATAAAAATGACTGATTATTTTCTAATCACTAACAAATATAAAGTGAGAGCAAACTGCAATTTTTAATGAATTTTGCATTTGCAAACTCTCAATTCTACAAACTTTTTCAGTAGTCGGCATGAGTTTGTAAAATCAAATGCCCACTACATGAAGTAAATTACTCGGCTCTTGAGTCAATCTGGCATGATTATATAGCTCTATATTAGAATTTTTTGCTGCTTCAGAAGACCATTTTCTGTTGTCAGCTCGAAGAAACCATGAAGTAACAAGAAGAGATTTGGTTTCAGACTGTCAGGTTGTCACAAAAACTTGAATTAGACGTTCTACTGCTGCATGAAGGCTTAATGAGGTTGGACTGTATGTGATAAAACCAATGTTTTGTGTTCCAATCACTCCAGCTTCCAGGGAACCCGTTTAAACTGGTGCTATTATCATTCAATGGAGCCAAGATGACTGGCCCCCCGAGTACTGTTTACTGAGGAGTCCAGATATAGTCTGAACAGGGATTCCAGATGTTTTGATTTGGAGAGAGGAAGGAACATGTTCCTCTCTCTTAGATTAGAAATCCTAGTGCATGAACTATCCATTAGAGATAAAATAAATGCAATGATAAAAAAACAGGAGCTAATAAGCAAAGAATTGGATAATAATATTTTTAGCTTTTTACCACTTTTAGAAAGTTCAAACCAAAAATAATTTGGAAATAAACAAAGAATTAGCATCCAACATTAAAAATCATTGTTTTTCATTGATAAATAATTTCAACATGAGGATTATGAAAAGAAAATTGGATTAGAAATAGATTTTGTTCTAATGTACCTGAAATTTTGTCTCTGTGATCAAACTCTAACTGAAGATTTCAAAAATAACACACTTGCTAATTTTCGGCTGAACCAAAAAAAGAAAAGAACTTAAAGGAATTTCAAACAAAGCTACTAAATTTTTATTGCCTTTTTGCTCAAACTATTTTTGTGAATAAGCATTTTCTTCCATGTTATATTTAAAAAATAAATACAAAACAAAATTTAAAGTGGATCCTAATTTATGATTAAAACTAAGTGAAATAAGACCAGACATAAGGAAACTGACCTCTCTTAAACAGGCCCAAATTTCACACTGAATTTTATAATTTAGTGTGAAATTTGTTATAACTTAAAATCTTCATAATCAAAATGGTAACCAATTTTTAATCTAATATTTATTTTACGTGTGCATATTTAAAATACACAGAGCCAATAGGCTGCCTAAATGGCAGTACATATTTGTTTTAATATTTCTATAGAGAAAATGAAAAGTAATTACTATAAAATGTTGTAGTGGACTAAAGTTTTTCAGTTTACGTTTAGATGGCATGCATTAGTCAAAGGGCTAAGAAGCACTGATCTATATCCATAACATTTAGGGGCTCACTTTTAGTTATATTAATATCAAGTAATTCATTGAAATACATAACATAATAAATCAGCTATCTAATAAAAAAAATACTTCACCCTTTCATTCGCACACTAAAAATTTTCTTATACATACCATGAAACACAACAAAAGAAACATATATTTTGGAAAATGTAAAAAAATTATTAATATTAAATAATAAATCTGATCATGCAAATGTGAAAGATATTTCTACATTTTTAATTGGATGATGGCACACTCAATTGCACAATGAAATGACTGGGAAAAGAGGTGGCGCTATCTGTTACAAAACTAATTACTAAGTAACAAAATTCGGTAGATCAACGGTTACGACGATACCAAAATATCTTTGAAATGTTATAGTATTCATTTTGTAATAAACTATTGCCAATAATGACGAATAAGACCATTTATTTATCTTTAATATCATATAAATATATTTCTTAATAAAACATTAAATACACAAATATAATTTTACCTACATAAGAGCTATATAGCAATATTTTGTGCAATCTGGCCTTGCAATAGTCCAGTTTCAAAATTTCAAAACAAACTAAATTCTAATCTAGCAAAATAAAAATTCTGTATAATTAGTACACAAAATATTTTAATACATAAAATATCAGTTTTTCTAACCTTTGTACAATCAGATCAAATTTTATGGAGTTTAAGTAAGTATGTGTTTTGACTCGAAATCCAACTCCGTTTAATATCAAATTTATTTCACTTTGCAAACACATACAGATAAATGTGACTACTTACATGTAGAGTTTAGTATAACGATCAAATGATCTAAAGATCTTATGATGAAAAACATTCAGTATTTTTAGTAATGTAACTTAACTACCGCTTACTCAAAATGGGAATTTTTCGATCACAACATTAAAAAACAAAGCTGGTTTCCAGATACATTCATCTACATTCATCAGACAAAATTACAAAACAAACTATTAAATAATAAGAAACAGGGAATGCTAAACAGGAATCACAACATCCTCTCCCTACTTTACATTGCAGGCAAGTTTGCCATAAAATCAATGCAAAATGAAGCAATGAAAATGTATATATTATGGTAAAAGTAATAAATTCTGTGATTATATAAAATTAGCGATGATTATACATAATTTGGTAACTAAATTTGGTAAATATAATAAATTATTTCATATTATCAAATTTACCGGTTAGTTTATAAAATCCCCAACTCATAATGGGGAATAAGATAAAAGTCCCTAACTTTACGAAAATTCTATTTCATATTTATCAGATTTATCGGTTAGTTTATAAAATCCCCAACTCATAATGGAGAATGTGATAAAAGTCCCTAACTTTACAAAAATTCGTTCAGTTTGCGCAACAGCTTGGCTTCTATCAACACGTGATTTCAGAAGCAGTTCTCATTTCATTGCATGTAGACATTTTTTTGCTACCCTCTCTTAAAAAAATAAAACATTGAATAATGACTGGTATGCTTGAACGTTTTAATTCCAAATTACTTAATATTATGGATACTAAGAAAACAAACAGTGGTTTTCTGACGAAAGAAAGATATGATGATTTTTAAAAAAAGTGAATAATAGTAAAAGCAAAAGTAGTGGGAAAAAAACCGAAAGGTTATCAGAGACTAAAAAGATATGATGTAATGAAAGTAGGCAATGTTGAAAAACTTATCTTTCCCGTAAGTGAAGACAGCTCCAATGTTAGATTTTACGTGTACTTGAAGAAATTTTCACCATAATTCATGAGGTACACTTTCAATAGCCATGGTGGTAGAACAGATGTAAAGAACTTCAAAAAAGTACAAAAACATTACTACCAAAGAAGTCATTTACTTAAATTTGTGTGAAAGTTGTCCGCCCCCCCCAAAAAAAGGTACCTAAGAAAGGACTTGTTAGGCCAATGGTCTTTCATGATGAACTCAAGATGCCAGGTGGACCTAATTGGCATGCAGTCGCAACCAGATAATGACTTTAAGTTTATATTTGTCTATCAAAACCACTTGACGAAGTTCGTACAGTTGCAAGCTCTAAAAAGCAAATGTGCAGAAGAGGTTGCATGTCATCTAACTGATATTTTTACTATATTTGGAGCCCCTAGTGTACTGCAAAGTGACAACGGTCATGAGTTTAGTAACAAAATCGTAGAAGAAGCTTAGGCAATGTGGTCGGATCAGAAAACTGTGCACAGAAAACCTAGGCACAGCCAGACTCAAGGTTCGGTTGAACATGCAAACCAGGATATTGAAAATATGCTAAGTTCTTGGTTTGAAAGCATCACACCAGTAAATGGTCCGAAGGGTACGGCTTGTGCACTTAGAAAATAGAGCATTCATGAAGGCTCAAGCTTCTCCTATGAAGCATGTTTGGGACGCCTCAAATTTGGCTTGAAAACGTCTTCATTCCTGAATGACTCTATCGAACATCTTAGAATTGAAGAAGAGCTTCAGGCATTAATCGAGACAGTTAATAATGCTTCTGAAAACACCAATAGCAAAATAGAAAATGTTTCTAATATGGATAATAACGATCTATCTCAAAATGGCCCTCCATCTGAAGTTAATTTTAAGACTCAGAAAGAGAATGAAGCAGTGGTCGCTCTAATCCAGGCAGATATTTTATGCAGGCAAGAGCAAGTAAGAAAACATACGAGTAGAATGAGTGCTAAAGAAGGTTTAGAATTACAAGCGAAGAAAATGTTGAAGGTTTCAAATCTTAAATTCCCTGCTGGTAAAGTTGGTGACACAGTGAAGCTACGAATACCAGACGTTGACATATGAGCAAGAAGAGATCCCCGAAATTTATTAGCGGTGATATTAGAAGTTCAAAATGAAGAGTTTTATCAATTAGGAATGACACAAGGAAGACTTTCACAGTTTATACCAAATCAATTCATAATTTGTGAAGAAAATTTATTTTGGCTTAACGATTTTCCGATCTAGCAATATCACTCGAGAAGCATTAGAAAGACATCTCTATCTGGAGATCAGCGATGTGTTTGTAAGGACATGCGAGTCTGATACTGGCAAATGTAACAACATCTGGC